TACCTGCGCTGAGCTTGCCAGTAAGGCTCTTTAGTGTTGTCTCATAAAGGTGTGAAAAAAGAAAAGAAATACTTTACAAAAAGAACTATTTTTTATTACTAAGTTATTTTTTTTTTACTTAAGTGTAAAACCATATAAATATTTATTGCCTTGAATTGAACTCTTCTTGCCTTCATGTTTGCGAAATCTGCTATCAATTTTCTTGTATCCAAGCAGTCTAAGATTTCATGTTCAATTGAAACTATGGCTATAAACTAAATTACTTAGTTTTTGCTGGTGCATTGTTGATCTTAAGTTAATTAATTAACTAAATAGTTTTTTTATAATTTTTAACTTTGAAAAGGACCTTTTACCAAATGCAACTGAAACCGGCAATGTAAGTAATGTGCTATTGCTGTGTTTGGAACTGTTGAAATTAAGTCATTAGTAAAAAGATATTGTAATGGGGTTTGTGGATCATTAGACTGGTTTTTTGGAAAATGCAACTTTAAAGTATTGATTTCATTAAACAAATCAATACTGTCAATGTCTGTTTCACTACTTGAATCGTCTTTAAGCTTCAGATTTAAATCCTAACCAAGTTAAAATATCATTAATTATACTTCGACCCATGTCAGAAGAATTATTAACAAAATAATTGCAATTTAATAGACGATAGAACTGTTCGATTGCGTACAAGTACAAATTAAGAAGGAAGCTCTGTAGGGATTCCCTAATTTCGCCAGTCCTGTCAACTTCTGTCATAGAGCACGACTATGAGTACTTGGCTTTCGGGCGCTGCCGGATAGTTCAACCTGCCGACAGACGTTTCGCATTGCAACTTAATTCTGATAAATGCCAATAGAGGCGCTGTTAATGGTATAATATAGGCTAAATAAGAATATAGTAATTGCGCTCCGGTCGGATTTTTTTCTCCCTGCGAAGACATTTTTTATGCTATAAGTAGGGTGGGTATTATGACAATGACTATTATTACGTGACCGATCGCTCAATTTGCCGCCCCCTGGACGTGCCGCCCGTGTGCGGTGCACGCCTTGCACTCCCGCTTACGGCGGGCCTGGACAGATAGGTAGACAGAATTACCTTCGAATTTATAATATTAGTATGGATTAATATGAATTTCTGCTATAAGGGGTACGCGAGTTTGAGCCCTTTCATGAAGTGGTACTCAGAAAAAATTAATTGGAAACCATTGTCCTAGACCATCACTGACGCCCAATTGACTGATGCCCCTGGATGTCGACTTCTTATAGAAACACAGCTTCCCTAACGTCAAATGTCACGGCACGCCACTACATTTCAGTTATGAGTCCTGTTAATTAATACGAATTTCGTTAATACAAAGTATCAATTTTTAAGTCTATTGTACTTTGTATTAATACTTTGTACTCTTCATATTAAAATACTTCCAATATGTATCGACAGATGGAGCCACATCCGAAAGCAACCGTTCTTTTCATTGATAATTGGACTTTTTATTGTTATATTTGAAATTCAAATAAATCCATTTTCAATCCTGAAAATTGATTTAAAGTGGTTGCTAATTCTTTCGAATCGTAAATTTAAATTATTAGAGTTTAAATGCGCCCAAAGTGAGGAGCCAACAGTGACAATTGCTTCCCCTCAGATTAGCTTGATTCTTTCTTTCATCTTATAATTTTTTCAAATTAACAATGTTATAACGCAAACGCTGTAAGATTATTCTTCTTTTTATAGTTATTTAATTGTAAGTAACGTGAGAAAAAGTGATCCCTGTATTCTTACTTAAAAGGTTAAATTGATGGGAGAAGACAATGCAACTCGTGGATCTTCTGTGAAGAAGGGAGCTTCCAGGAAGAACTCATTGTGAGCAACTGCTCCCTATTTAAGTGTTATACACGTGAAATAAATCCAGGAGAGTCCACGTGGCCAGCCCTTTGGGCACTCTCCACCCTCGTCCATTGTTGATGAAAACTAGGATCCATTCGGGATACATGTTATAAAGTAATTTATATATATTTCTACATTACTAATAATAGCATAATTTCTTAATTTCTAGTATTACTTCTTGTCTGGTTAAGTTTTTCATATATTAATTCACTAAACTTGATTCAATAGAGATTTTATTCATATACCTTTATTACACCTGGAACAGGGTATTTTTTAAATATTTTTTTACGTTATTAGCTTTGATTTCTTTAATATGCATTCCAGGCATACGTCCCTGTTTAGTTGGAGTTATAAAATTTCAATTGTTGAGAGAAAAAACTCAATTCTAAGCTCATTACTTTTCTGGCTATTATATATAACATAGAGAAAGTATGGCAATCAGCCAAAAATGTCACCAAGATTTTTACGTTTTTTAGCTTACGACATCTCGAAATATCGAGAAATGCAAAAAAATTGAAGATTTTTCTGTATGTATAGATGTTATTGTGTTGTTTGTATGCGTGTATGTGTGTGGGGGACGATTTGTTCACTCTCTTTCAAGCTTAATAACCCCTATGTTTTTCGCGGAAAATTTCTGAAATTTTGCAGATAGGTTTGTTTATTATGGGAATTGATACTGTTAAATTTTGTTGATTAAAGGTCAAAGGGTTGGTGAGATAAAGGGGGGGGCCGTGTGTATCTCCAGTAGGGTCGGACTTAATGACGATTTTACTCGTTATTAGCATTTACAATTTTTTTATCCCTACTCTCAAAATTAAGTTTTTTGCCATTTTATAATAGTTAAAAATATAAAACGTTTTATTAAAATATGATAACAGACGGCGCAACCAAATGTTGCCAGGGAAAGTTAAGCAACTCGTTGCTGGATATAACCTTAACCATTATCGAGCACCGAAAAAACTTGTACCTAGTGAAATGTTTGGAAATAAAATCATTATTAAATAAAGCGCAGTTATTTAGTAAATAATTTCTTAAATTTATTAAATATGTGTAAAATATCTTTATAAGAAAAATGTTTGTTTTATTCCTTTTTTATTTCTTACACAGCAATCAATTTTATCGTTAAAATTCAAAAAGTAAATTTATTAAACGAATCTTTATAGAAAAAATAAAATAAGTTAATGTTAATTACATTGTGAAATTCATCCCTTTTCAATCTATTTTGACATAAATTAATAATTTAAATAGGAATTTTTTATGTTACTTTTTCCTCTTTATTGTTTATGTGAAAATTATACTATTTTTCCTCCAATTGTGAAAGACTGTCGAACTTTGTTTCTTTTTATTTTATTTCTTTACGTATAAAAATCCAGCAACGAGTTACCAGTTATTACAAAAACAACGAGAGAATTATTAAGCTTTAAAGGGGGTGAACAAAATCGTGCCTCCTCCTACACACATAAAACTAACGTGCAACAAAGAAAACCAAATTTTTTTACATTCATTTAATTCTATAAATAAATAGGAAAAAATTACAGCACCGAATGTAAAACTTAAAAAATAATACGCAAGTTTATTTATAAAAAAAATAATAGTACACAAAATAATAATATCTAATAAATAAAACGTTTTTCTTTCGAAGTGCAGTTCGAATCGAATTTATGGTATTCAGAATATTTGTTATAAATCTCCTAATCTAAAAGAGGGATGTAAAGGGATGAACATCTGCTATAGCACCATTAGGAAAGAATGATGTCTTTGCCCAACTCTTAAGGGTGAACCCAACATGGCTTCATAAAAACTACACTTAATGCCTTGATATGATTTATTCTTCATGATCTATTCCTCGGTCTAGTGCCTGGTTTGGTTGCTTTCTAACCAAGAATCACTCGGCTAGACTGCATTATTTGTCAAATTCATCATCCTATACTGGCGATTACTCTTAATGCCCGGTAAATTTAATTAATTGTGGTTTATTATATTTACCACTACGAACCGGCGATTATGAATAATTACAGGATTAATCACTTTTACCGTAACATATATATTACATAAATATAGAAGAAACATATACTTATATGAAACTTTCTCTTTGATCTCTAACAATTTCATATTAATTAAGTCTTTATTTTCATTAAGTTATAGTGTTGCAATAGTTTTATTACTCAGAACTGACCTTGTGTACTTAATTATTTAAACGTGGTTTCGATCTAACTTTTAACTTTTGTACATCGGGTAGGGCAATTAAATCCTAGATGAAGACAAAAAAAATTTGGGTATTATATTATACTTTGTAATATACTATTTCATGCTGTATTATAGTAACAGATAGCGTATTTTTTTTAACAATTAATACAAAAGTAAGATTGGATTTATTGAGTAACGAAACGCTAGACATGGGCGATCTGCCTCCCAGCAGGACTTTCTTTGTGAAACTGCCCCTATTTAGCTATTAGATAAGTGAAGAACCCGAAATTCCCATGTTTCCAACCTCTTGATCAAGCGCAAACCCATCACCCACTACCACTGTTCAGTGGTTTTATCCACTCGGCCACTGATTGGCCTGAAAAAGCCTTCATAGATTTTAGTGGTTCGGGCATCGTCTCACGTCCTCTCAAGCTCTAAGTAATATGTCTTTTTAAGTCAATTTTGTATAAGAAATTTATACACAAAATCGTATTTTTTCGAAGATTCTATCAGTGTCTAATATTTATTCTTCGTATCCACTATTTAATACAAAAGATAAGTAAATTAATTTTCATAGGAACCGCCAACATATCTTGACACGTACATATTACGTAACAAATTTTATGACAAATAAATTAAGTAATATCAGTATATAATATTATGATTCATTCGGTGCTTATATACCATTTTTTTTAAATTTAAACCTATGATAATTGTTCGTTTTTATCCTAATTCCACACAAATGTAAAGGTTTAACTTTTGTAACTTGTTATTAATCAAATCAGCTTTAAGTTAAACTCGATCATAGTTATATTAAGATGTTTCTATATATAAACGAGTTTCGAAACGATTCGCGCGAATTTTTCGTACGTCAACGATACATTAAACGCTTAAATTACGGATGTTTCTACCACGTGTTAGTTCGGAAGTCATGACTACTGATATCCGTTACGAAGGACCTTGAGTTTAAAACACATTCTGCTGCGGAGGAGAAGTTGATAGTAGTCACATCACATGTCACGATAAAGGTTAACAACTATCGTCATGACAAGTTGGGCGCTGGTCCTCTGCTGTTTGATAGGAATAACTGTGTTACGAGCCAACGACGACGATTTATACTTAGAACAAAGAGCCATCGACATCGATGGATCCGTCATTGTAAGTCTAATTTCCTATAAAACGTATGGTTTTCAGAAGGATTACTATTTTAAAATAGTGTAGATTTATACTGAAGATAACAGTAGTTGTTATCAGTATTCTCTATAGTATCTTTCATAGGGATTATAATTACGGTTATTACCAAACAATGATGTACTGTCAGTAGGTGCACGCGAATATAATCTCTAGTGGGTGGATCAGATTATTCACGAAAATATACATTTTATTCTTAAATATCGAATGTTTTCACAATATATTTTTATAGAATTTAATAAATTAAATAATTAGAAAAATTAGAATATTAATAAGAATTTTAAATTTTGCTCCGAAAGAAATTCGAAAATTTTTATTGAATAATTACTTGTAATTAATTAACAATTGAAGAAATATATTCTCGAATAATTGTTAAAAAAAATAAAATTTATTATTGATTTTTAATATAAAAAAAACTATATCTACATCTGTTCTGCTTGATGAGTTTGTCACTTGATATGTTTGACATTATCGCAGACGGCGTTTATCAATTACATATCAAGTGACATTTTATAAGGTGTGCCATATATGGAAAGTGTCTAGACACAGCAATTTATTTATTTTAAACACTTCTAAGTTATAAAGAAATTCTTTCTGTTATAGCTTTATCAAAACAACTTAACATTGGGTCAGAAATGCATCAACAGCATCGAGTGCCTCAGTGGATGCTGTCTAAAGAAGAAACATTTTGGTTCCAAATGTGCTGCTAAATCTTTGAGAAAGAAAAGATGTTCCATGGGTCAAGTAAAAGGAGGAAAATACAGACGTTTCTGCCCATGTGTCGCCTCGGAAGGTAAGTGTATTTCTTCATACAGGCAGCATCTTCAATAATTGCGAAAATTTTTACGTCAATCTTACGTCATTTTCTCATTGTATGTATGATGTAAAATTGACGTAGTAGTGTTCGTAAATCGTTACGACATAATAAACATAACTTAAATTTTCTTGAGGACTAATTCTTTTTTTTTTTTATTAATTATTCTGCAGACAGCTGCGTGAAGACAAAAGCCAAACGAAGATTCCCTATTTGTGTTAATTAAATCTACAATATGTAATTTATTTTGTACTTTTTAAATATACTTTTTAATTTTATCTTCTTTTACGCCACGAATATTTTTTATTTGAAATTAATTATAAATTCAGATATCGCTTACTTCTGTATTTATAAAAAGTAATTGTAACCTGTATGTTAACAATAAAAAACAGGAATAATTAACACTGTGAAGTATGTTATGATTTTAATATTTTACATTAAAAAACCTAGGTATTGTCCTCTATTCTAAAGGAATCCGTTCCTGAAGAGGACATTCATAAAGGTGGCCTTTTTAGAGATGACTGTTGTTGAAAGTTATTAGAGATTCGGCTGTATTTAATTTACACGTTTTCTTCTTTCGGTTCGTCTTTTTACAAGTTATTTCTGGATCCTCCAAACTAACACTATCACAACCAAGAACTCGCCTTCTTAAAGGCCTCTTTTCACTGTTCAGTTTTGTTCTACATCTTTATTCCAATCTGTTAAATGTCTCTAAAGAAACTTGCCTCATTAATCTAATGATTTATGAGAAAAGGCAATGCAACAAAAGAGGATGCCTCCGAGGAAGACTTTTATGGGAAACACCCTATTTAAGTGTTATATACCTAAAGAAAATTTGAAAAATTTCAGGTAGACAGACTGTTGAGAGACACAAATCAAGACCTGTGTTCAGTGGTTTTAACCAGCTCTGTGGAGATTTGAGTAAAAATAATCTCTATTAAATATTGGCTAAGACGGTGGTTCTTATGCAAATAACGTCACTTGAAGTAACAGTGAATGTGTTCATTACAATAACACATAAACAAGAACAATGTAACAAAGTTATTTCGTAACAATTAAAAAAATTCTTTAAGAAAGATCTTTATTTATCCTAATTTAATTTGTAATAATAATAAATGTATTAAATCTGTGTTTATAATCACAATATGCAACTGTATTAGATCATTAAAATATGATTTAAATAAATTGTTGTAAACGAATTATAAGTAAAGAATAAATTCATGCAGAACTCTGTTCAAATTCCTCTCATGATTTTTTTATTCAACATGATACTTGCACGCTGAGGAACATTTTTTTCCATTTCATAAACTAGGAATTGATGTTATTTTATACATAAACTGTGCTCAAGCGAATAACAATGTGATAGAAATTCCAATAAATATAGAATTTTTCTGATACTAAAGGAATTTTTGGTGTATCGTAAAACCATTTTAAAATATCCTTATTATTTACGATAGAGGAAAAGCAATGAAATAATTTCATGATACACGTAAGTAGTCTGAACAATGACTAAACGAGATAGAAATCTACTGTGCATTTTAAGCTTGTAACTCATTGCATGTAGGAAATATCCTTGACTCTGGCAGGCTAACCAATAAACAATACTCGTAATAATAGAAAGGAAATATTCATTCAAATAACATTTTCATTAATATAAAAATGATCAATTTATCATATACTTAACCATTCGATACTAGGAGATTTGAATTTGTGAATTTTGAATAAAAATTTAATGTTAAATACATATTTAAGAATACGAAAACACTAGAATTATAACCGAGGAAGAGTATATGGCCCGAAATGTAAATATTGGTTTAATAAAAAATCTCAGTCAGCTTTCCAATTGAATATTGTCGTGTGATAAGTCCTTAAATTTTATAGCAAACTAGCAGATGAGCCTGGAGTTGCTCGGGCGAAAGGTAACCATAGCATAAGTTTAAATTATTAGATTATAACCAATCTTACTCGTTTTCGCCGGATGCAAGAATTAGGTTCACCCTCTTTCGAGGCTAATTAGAGAAATGTTAGATGGGTCTAAAAATATATTCGATTTTCCTCAAAAAAATCGCATCTAAATTAGTACAATAGTAGCCGAGTTCTTCAGAGTAAGCCGTAAACTTCTCCCTTTTTCCTGCGGGAGGAATTTCCAAAAAATCCATTCTTAGTATACGTTCTTATTAGTACCCTAACTATACCAAATTTCAACTTTCAGCTCCTAACCGTTTGGATTCTGCGCTTATTATTATTATTATTACTAGCTGCAAAGACCCGCTTCGCTGGGTTTTTAAAAAGTTACGATAGTGAAGATTAAGATAATTACATTATAGCCAATCTTACCCGTTTTCACAGAATGCAAGAATTAGGTCCCCCGTTTCCAGACTAATTAGAGACCTGGTCACTGGAGGACGTGAACGTCTCCTGTTCACGTCCAGTCAAACGAACTATTTTCAACGTTTCTGGAACGTTTACAATCGTTCTATAATCGAACCACTATTCGAATTTTATGTTCAAATTTAATTCGAACAAATTCGAACAAAACATTCGAAATAGAAAGCCACTTTCAACCACTTTCAGCCTAATATCTCCCCCACCCTTATAGCTATCAAGACGCAACCCCTGGTGCACGAATGGAGACTTGGGGCTACTACCACATACAAACACCATTCATGTGCGATGTGTAGTTTTGGCGGAAAAGTGAAATATAGGGACATACATGTCCATTTATATATATATATANACATTACTAATAATAGCATAATTTCTTAATTTCTAGTATTACTTCTTGTCTGGTTAAGTTTTTCATATATTAATTCACTAAACTTGATTCAATAGAGATTTTATTTATATACCTTTATTACACCTGGAACAGGGTATTTTTTAAATATTTTTTTACGTTATTAGCTTTGATTTCTTTAATATGCATTCCAGGCATACGTCCCTGTTTAGTTGGAGTTATAAAATTTCAATTGTTGAGAGAAAAAACTCAATTCTAAGCTCATTACTTTTCTGGCTATTATATATAACATAGAGAAAGTATGGCAATCAGCCAAAAATGTCACCAAGATTTTTACGTTTTTTAGCTTACGACATCTCGAAATATCGAGAAATGCAAAAAAATTGAAGATTTTTCTGTATGTATAGATGTTATTGTGTTGTTTGTATGCGTGTATGTGTGTGGGGGACGATTTGTTCACTCTCTTTCAAGCTTAATAACCCCTATGTTTTTCGCGGAAAATTTCTGAAATTTTGCAGATAGGTTTGTTTATTATGGGAATTGATACTGTTAAATTTTGTTGATTAAAGGTCAAAGGGTTGGTGAGATAAGGGGGGGGCCGTGTGTATCTCCAGTAGGGTCGGACTTAATGACGATTTTACTCGTTATTAGCATTTACAATTTTTTTATCCCTACTCTCAAAATTAAGTTTTTTGCCATTTTATAATAGTTAAAAATATAAAACGTTTTATTAAAATATGATAACAGACGGCGCAACCAAATGTTGCCAGGGAAAGTTAAGCAACTCGTTGCTGGATATAACCTTAACCATTATCGAGCACCGAAAAAACTTGTACCTAGTGAAATGTTTGGAAATAAAATCATTATTAAATAAAGCGCAGTTATTTAGTAAATAATTTCTTAAATTTATTAAATATGTGTAAAATATCTTTATAAGAAAAATGTTTGTTTTATTCCTTTTTTATTTCTTACACAGCAATCAATTTTATCGTTAAAATTCAAAAAGTAAATTTATTAAACGAATCTTTATAGAAAAAATAAAATAAGTTAATGTTAATTACATTGTGAAATTCATCCCTTTTCAATCTATTTTGACATAAATTAATAATTTAAATAGGAATTTTTTATGTTACTTTTTCCTCTTTATTGTTTATGTGAAAATTATACTATTTTTCCTCCAATTGTGAAAGACTGTCGAACTTTGTTTCTTTTTATTTTATTTCTTTACGTATAAAAATCCAGCAACGAGTTACCAGTTATTACAAAAACAACGAGAGAATTATTAAGCTTTAAAGGGGGTGAACAAAATCGTGCCTCCTCCTACACACATAAAACTAACGTGCAACAAAGAAAACCAAATTTTTTTACATTCATTTAATTCTATAAATAAATAGGAAAAAATTACAGCACCGAATGTAAAACTTAAAAAATAATACGCAAGTTTATTTATAAAAAAAAAATTATATAATATATCTGTTCAGAACATTCATTACAATATTGGACAAAAAGCAAATAATTATAAGCATAAATGCCCCAATTACACAAAAAACTTGAAAGGTCAAATTTGACAAGATTCCAATACTTTCCCTTGTTATGTATGCCAACAACAGGAAAAGTAAAGTGACATTTCATAGTATTATCCAAATATTTCTCATAACATAAAAATCTATTGAATATTTCTTTATTAATAATTAGATTTTAACATAAAAAAAATATCAAAATTTAATTTGTGTAAAAAATTTTGCTTAACAATAAAAAGTATCGATTCCGTGCTATCTATTAATTAGTAACTTTTTTCCTTCTTTTAATGGTTTCTTTTGCCCCCGCTTCAGACTTGATATTCTGTGATTCTTTTGGTTTCGTTTTAGAAGACCCTTGAGTGCATTGAAGTCCTGATTTAAAAGAGTTCTTTACAGGTGTTTTTGTTTCAGTCTTTGATAAAACGATTTCAGATTGCTTCATAGCAGAGGATCTTTCTAGTTGCGGTTTTTCTATAATTTCTTGAGTGTCCATCATTTTGGTAAATAACAAAGGTCTTTCATTTTTTATTTCTTCAGCTTTAAATGGAACTTCTTTTGTCACTTTTGCCACATTCGCGGATATCTCTGGAGTTTCGGGAATGTTAATTGTTATCGTACGTTCTAGAATTGTTGCAAGATTATCTAAATCACCCTTGTATGTAGACGAAAACGTTTCCCAGTTCTCCTCAATATAATCATCTACCATTAAGAAAGTGGACCACGAAATGGGGGCGTCAGGACTTATCCAATAAATGTAAAGATATTCGAAATTCTCGCTCTTCATTACTTGTAACAAGAAACGATAATCATTGTCATTCGTGTATCTGAAGGTGTATTGATTTTGATTTGAGTTCCAGTTTTCGGGTAATTTGTAATTTTCGATTTTACTAGAAGTTGTTGACCAATCTTCTCCAATCCCTACGAAGTGTACACCTTTAGAAATGATGAAATAGTGTATAATAAGAACTAATGCATCCTCTTTACTGGTCAGTTGCTGCTTTACGTTATCAAAAAACGATTCAAACTCTTCTTTTTTGAAAACCTTCATTTTGTTCGTCTGTCTTGTCTAAGTATTATTATTGTTACAATTGCCTTTATTACTTGTTCATTATTTCGAATGACGCTTTAATTCACAACTTGAAATCCATTTATGTTTAATCACAGTTGAAACTGAAAGATGGTCAACAGCAAGCATATTTTTATAAATTGAAAGTGTAATTAATACAGACAGTCAATTCTTTTTTCCCAATTTTATAATTTTACTTACTTGTAATTTACACTTCCTGTCAAGAGCCACAGTGGTTGAGTGACAAACACTACTGAACACGTGAGTTCACAATGGGCTGACCACGTGGAGTTTTCTGGATTTTCTTCATGTCCAACATCTAAATAGAAGCCAGATTACCCTAGAAAATCTCCCCTTTGAAAATCGGCCAAATGTTGCATTGCTTTATTCAATCAATTGAATCCAATGCAATAAGATATTTTGACGGAAATCAAACCAGTGAAATCAACTGAAAATTGACACGAAGTCCCCAAAAAAATGTGTAATAAATATTTTTAGGACCTTAACCTTTAAATTAATTGAAAGATTGTTTGGCTTGTACCTGTAGATTGGGCATATTTTGAGAACTGTCAAGAATTTTTAGCTTTGTGACTACAAGTTAAATAAAACTATTCGGGGTGCAAAATTAACAAATATAATTCAGCATTTTAAATTTTAAATCTGAAGTCATACAGTAATTCCAAGATATATATTTCATAAACAAAAACAAACAGAATAGTTTAGAACCTTTATTAAATTTAACGTTGAATTTAGCGAATAAGTAGAAAAATAACGATGTTAAATTTTATTTTGGTAGCCAAGATCAATTCCTTCTTTATAAGCTAATGACTAACTTTCTTGCTCTTCGTGGGAGGTCTTTTCAAGATTTTTTTAGGTACAGCACCAGTTTCCTGAGTAGGTGCAACCCCAGAAGCAGATGCTTGAGCTTGAGCTTGAGGTGCTTGAGGTGCTGGAACAGTCGTTTTTGATCGAGGAGCCGTAGCTTTTTGTCGTGGAGTTACTTCTTTCGGCTGTGAAGGACCAGGTTTTGCTTCTGGCTGCAAAGCCTGGGCTTCTGGTTGCAGTTCTGCTACCGCCTGTGGCTGCGATGCTTCGGGTTGTGGAGTTGTCCCTTTTGATGGTTGTTTAGAACCGATTATCATGTCCTCAAATAAAGTTGCGGCTACCTGAAGATTTTCAAAAGTTGTCTCGAAATTTCCGGTCAGTTCTTTAACGTAATCACTTATCTCGATGAGTGTGACGGAGAGAATTTCGGGTTGAACATTAAACCAATAAACGAAGATAAACTTGTTTTCTCTCAGTTGTATTGTTAGTAAGTAACGATATTTATCATCTGCGTACATTATCTTGTACAGCTTTTGATCTGCATTCCAATTATCAGGTAGAGTCTTAGATCGTATATTCCTATAATCCGGAGGCCAATCTTCTCCCAATCCTATACATTGTATACCTTTAGAAATGGCGACATGATGCATAAGGAGTACTAGAGCATCTTTAGGACTTTGAAGTTGACCTTTCATTTCCTCAAAAAACGGCTCGAAGGATTTAATCTTGTATGCCTCCACTTTAGCCATTTTGTTAAAAGACTGTTATTGTGACAATAATCATCTGCTCTTATTGTTTTATCGTATTGTTTCAAAATGTTTTTGTATATTTATGAAATTTGTGAAAGTAAATTTAAAATCCCAAAAATTTATATAAAAATTAATAAGTTGTGATTGGAAAATGTAGTTGGAAACTTAACTTCTCTACTGATTGAATGATGTATTAATACTTAAATACTTCTGACTGAATTTATCAGATACAAATCTTCAACTGCCAACCAATGGCCGAATGAATAAAATCGCTGAACACTTGTTGTGAGTTCACGCCTCGTCAACAGGCTGGTCCACTAGAGTTTACCGTGTTTTCTTAGCGTTTGTAACACATAAATAAGGTCCATTTTCCTACAGAAAATCCTCACAGGAGACATCCCCCCTTTTGCAGATCGCGTTGAGGTATGCAAACCAACAAATTCAAACAAATCTCCAATTCTTTACAAACTACACACTTCAAAAAGTGTTAATATATGAGAAGAACATCAATTATAAATAGATTTCTCGATCTTTTCTGATAAATAAGAAAACCATCATTGAAATATTGATAGATCCATAAATAATACAGCATAATATCAACATTATTTTATAGACAGTACTTTAATAATTAAGATAAATTCTAAGCAGTGGTGGTGAAACTGAAATTTGAAATCTGATACATGTTATAAATAACAAGCTCGTTAAATTAAAAAAAAATTAATGAGTTAAAAATCAATAAACTAGAAGAATTCATTTTACCGCCACATAACGAGCGGTTAAGGCTGTCTTTGTGGGGGCCTGAGATCGAATTTTACAGAAAATTTTCATGGGCGGTCTCTCGGGCTTTCCACTACCACCTGGCCGCCCCGATTGTGGGCTTGGCCCAAGATGTATGTACAAAAATGGCCTTCTTAGGGCCTACGGGACAATATAAAAGATAATTTGTTATATTTATTATTATTAAAATAAGTACGATTGATTTATGCGAATGATATATATTTACGTATGATATTTTAATGATTAAAATTGATACTTTATTCCTTTGTACTTTAATAATACTTTGTAATAGTTAATAATGAAAGACTAAAGGGTAGTAAAGGGTAAATATATCAGCGGTTTAAAGAGGTAAGAAAAAAAATCAAATAGAATATATGAAAAGTAATTTACTACAGTAGGATTTCCATCATTTTTAATTTACCAATCCTTTTATGAGATTATACAAAAAATATGTGAATAATAACAAATAGAAAAAGTAGAGACGTTTTCGGATTACAATAGTAAAATATATATTAAAATTACTTTTATGAATATATTAGGATTGATGGGCAAAGCAATATATGAGTGATCTGTCAAAGGAATGCTTCCAGAAACTGGTCCCTCTTTATTTGTTAAACACATAAAGAAAACGTCGCGCTGCCAGCCGGATTTGTGAGGTCCGAACCCGCATCTCCAGTGATCAGTTGTTTCATCCACTCGGACCGTAATGAATCCATAAATATATTAGTATTTTATATATCCACTTCTTTGCATGTATCGATTCTCTTTCGAAGTCTGTTGATCTTCAAGGATCGATCTCATTGAGATCTTTAGTGTAATGGTCTAGCACTACCTCTCTGGGGAAACTGGGATCGAATCCGGGGACAACTCCCCAGGAACTTTTATGTTGGACTTAGTCCCTCACCACTCTGCTGCTTCATAGCGATCCTGGTTGAATTCATGGTGTGCTTGAATAGAAGATCCTCTTAGCGCCCAAAAGCACACGCAAACCTGCCACAGTAGACATTCCATCAAGAAGCAACTCAAGCGAAAATAAGGAATCTATATAATCATCATCGGTAGAGAAGACAAAGATTTTTAATTCTCTATAATAACATAATAATAGCAATTTAAACTTATCCAACAGGGGAAAAAATAATAGAAAAAGAACAATGCAATTCCTAACTTACATTACACGAAAGTGATAAAAAAAATTCCTGTGTACGTCTTATCTCTTGGAAATTACTAAAGATAAGAACATGTAAAAATATATACAGTTGACCCCTATAACACTGTTGATTTTTCTGTTTTATATGAATTCCATGTTGTACGAGTCACTTAGATTTTACAAATACATGAGCCGTTCACAGCCCGGCACACGTATTTGTAAAATCTAAGTGACTCGTACAACATGNCTTTTTAACCATTTCTACTAAGCAAAACTGGAGATGAGCAAAAATAAGCGAATTTTTTCAACGCTAGGGCTATATTGGTATTGTATTTTATTCTTATCGGATACTATAACTCGATTTACAGGAGTCGTCGTGATTTTATAAGACAGATTTAATACCAATATTTTAAAGATTAATACTATAGTCGCATTTTCTCGATTATAATGCACACTTTCTTTTTCCGACTTAATTAATTCGACTTCGGTTTTTTTCATTTGCTCTTCAGTTATGTGTATTACGCCATCGATATATAAGCGTGTCCTATCTCTACATCACTTTGGTTTTGGTATTCGTTATTTTAATCTTATTTTAACTTTAAAAATATTGTATTTTTTAATATTTAATATTTTCTTAAGTACAATAAGAAAAATTATTAATTAATAATAAAACGATTTTATTATTTTTTTTCTCATTATACGATTTAATTACATTCCGCGATTGTCATTGCGGAATGTAATGACTTGTAAAGGAAGGTTCCTGTAAAACTGATTTTTGCATTAATGCGTTTACTGTTTTTTGAATACTTTGCGTGCGAAAATTACTTGGATATTATTTTTCTAAAAATATCGTGGAAATAATGTAGATTGATACAGAAACTATTTATCTCACATATACTGTATATAAGCTTCAAAAAAAATAAATAAAATAAATTTTATGAAATGATGAGATCAGTTGATTAATTGTATAATGTACAATATTTTATACCCCTAAGGAAAATACTGTAGGTCTATGGTAAAATAAATTTCATTTTCCCACAGTTAAACTTTGCAGCTAATTGCCTTTGTGATAAACCATTTTCACTTTCTCTAATAATTTTAACGTGATCTTCTAAGGACAGCACTTTGCATTTCTTTCCTTTTTGGAACATTTNCCCCCCTATAACACTGTTGATTTTTCCGTTTTATGTGAATTCCATGTTGTACGAGTCACTTAGATTTTACAAATACATAAGCCGTTCACAGCCCGGCACACGTATTTGTAAAATCTAAGTGACTCGTACAACATGGAATTCATATAAAACAGAAAAATCAACAGTGTTATAGCGGGGGTCGACTGTTATTAATAAAAATATTTCAATTAAAATACCTATTCCTCTAAAAATTTGGGGGAAGGAACCGCATCTTCAAAGAAAACATGACTTCTGTTGTAATTTTGCTTACTGTTTTCCTTATTAAATAAGAAATTTACAAACTTAAATTAGTCTAAATAATGAATTTTTCTAATAAAAATCATTTAAAACATTCCCAAAATGCAGAACTCTATCATAAACTCAATTAGTTTATTGTACAGACTGGTCCAAAAGTGGGTTAACCATACTTAGTTTCAACGTAAAACACGCAATTTTGTAACGAAACTAATTGACACGTAATAAAAAAATATAATTAAATTAATTAAAATTTAATTATTTAATTTTAATTTAGTCTCTACAACAGCTAACTGACTTTTGCTCCATCCTGTTTACACGATAAATATTTAAAGTTTTGAAATTAATTTTTTATAAAAATAAAAAATATTTAATTATTTAAATTCTGAATATTAAATGCATTTCTTACCCTTTATTTAAAATTCGTTAAGATTGGTAGAACGTACACATTTTAATTAAGTAATATGATACAGCAGTACAGGAGTCGAGTGTAGACATCGAGTTACAACATAACCTGCAACATCCAGTAATTAATAACAACGTTGTTGATTAATTTAGATCAATAATAAAATTCTAACTAATTAATTTGGGGAGTTTAATCTTATTACATCTAAAAAAAAATGTGAATAATTATAAAATTTTGACTGGACCAACCTATACATAACAAACAAATTGAGTTTATAACAGACATATGAATGTTATTTTTCATTAAATTCTCTCGTATCCAACGAATTTCCCAATAAGTTTCCATCAAATTCTTACATATCTCCTCACAAATTTCTTATTAAATTATTCCACATTCCTCTAATTTACCCTTTAATTTTTCCTCATCATTCTGATTTCCTAATAAATTCTTTCAAAGTTCTCACAAATTTCCCCAAATCCCTCTAACTCCCCATTAAATTCTTTCGAAGTTCTCAGAAATTTCCCCAAATCCCTCTAATTCCCTATTAAATTCTTTCGAAGTTCTCACAAATTTCCCCAAATCCTTCTAACTCCCTATTAAATTCTTTCAAACTATCACAAATTTCCCCAAATCCCTCTAATTCCCCATTAAATTCTTTCGAAGTTCTCACAAATTTCCCCAAATCCTTCTAACTCCCTATTAAATTCTTTCAAACTATCACAAATTTCCCCAAATCCCTTTAACTCCCTATTAAATTCTTTCAAAGCTCTCACAAATATCCCCAAATCCCTCTAATTTCCCATTAAATTCTTTCAAAGTTCTCACAAATTTCCCATTGAATTCTTCCATATGACTCACAAAGTTTCATATTAAATTCTAGCATGTTCCTTTACAATTTTCCCATAGACATAACATTACATAACAATATTATTGATAGTGTAAATGCTGTCATTAACAGAAATAAATAAAAAAAAAAGCAAATTAAATTTGGAACAAATTTTAAATTAGTCACAATTAAATATAGAACAAAATAATTTGGAAATAGCTCCTGGAATTGAGAACATAAACAACTGATATTTTATTTATAGATTTGCTGATATAAGACAATAAAAAATTTTTAGGAAAAAAAAAAATATATATA